TAGCCTGCAATATCCGCTGCCACGTTCCTCGCCTCAATAAGCGTAGCCGCAATGAAGCTGGCCACCGCAGCCGCGTAATGATACTACCGGCGTGTCGTCTCATACATCTGTCCGCCACTACCCTTAAAGTGAACCGTCCCGCCGATCACGGCTATCGAAGGATCCGCAAAATATGGCCAGCTCGCTATGGCCGTCCCGGTCAGCGGTAGTGCGTCCAGCAGAACGAAAACCCCTGCTCACCGCTTTTTGCGCGCCAAATACACGTCAAGGGGAGCACGCGCGCTATAACGGCTAAATAGGTCCACAGTGCGTCCTCCTTTTCTCTCAGTCCGCACTCCGCCCTCCAAGCGCCGCCCCTTCATGCTGAATAAACAAAGTACGCGGACGCAGAAAACCAACGAAAAATCTGCAGCGGCATTCGTGTATATGTACCGCAACCCGTAGCGGCTTCTATTCAGCTCAGTCTGCACGCCACGCGGGAGTTGGCTTAAAACTGCGAAATGTCACTGAAAAAGGACTTGCTAGTTGCCAAAAAGGCCCCACGACAATGTTGCCCGGAAAACAATCAAAGTAACATTCTTAACGAATATAATAAGAAGCCCAGAACCAAACTCTCAGAAACACACAAGAATCATAATAATACGCATAAAATTCACTGAAGAAAATAAGAATATTAAAGCGTCGCCTTTCCTCATACGTAGCGCCGCCACCCACCCTAACTCTCTGCGCCAGCAAACCGAGCCATTAACGTTGGCAACGCTCGTCCATAAGCGCTGTTTCACCACTACTCTTATGCCACGTACAACTAGATCATGAATCGTCCGCGCTCTATATTCGGCATACTGGATGTTTTTTCTGGCTTTTTTCTTCATTGTGCTTGACTCATGCAACCTTGTCCTCTTTAGCTGCGTATCCGCCCACGAATACACTATCCCAACATGGCAAAATAGCCGCCGCCGCTTGCTCTTAAATGCAGACCTTGCGGTCCGCGGTGCCGTACCAGGTACCAGCCGACGAAAACACATGTGCTGTTCTCGTCA